AAGCTCAGAGGGAATAATGAGCTCTTGTGGAGAAAAGGCAACTAATCTAATGGAATGTGGGATGATGAGACCTTGGAGAGCTACTCAGTGCACCGCACTTTTAATCACAAGGGCCTGTAATATCACACAGAGTTTTTCAGTATGCATACAGTAACTTATTTTCTCATCATGTTAGTGAACATATAATGTGGTGAATAGTAACTTCATAAACATATCTGTGACATGTAAGTATGTGAACTTATGTATTTCTAAAATGTAATCGTAACTATTCCTTTTCTAATATGATTGAATAGTTATGCACAAACAAAGTGAACAAACAAGTTAACTAATCAACAAACATAGTGTCAATCTTCTACTAACGAAGTTCTTAATTCAGTCTAATATTAAAACTAATCCTAATGTATTACTTTGTTAACAATTTTACTCAACAGTTCCTAATTGGTAAATTCATAATATAACTTCCACATCCATTTCTCTGTCTCCTGTTCTCCAACTGTCTCCCTGAACTCTCCTCCAGGCCGTTGCTTTTCGCCCCCCAGGGAGCTGCGAGTGTCCATTGGTCTGCGCCTCCTGCTGCCATGCGTCCAGCTGTCTCCCAGGCCCTGTAGCTGGGAGCATCCTCCACACAGACACACCAGGCAGCACCGCTCTGACCTGGAGGTGACTGTCACAGAGGAAAACCTGGGAATATACACCTGCATATGCCAGGTACAACGTCTGTTTCACCTTTTTCTGCTAATATAAAGTAATGATAAATGAAATAAATTAGTCATTTTCATGGCAGCTAGTATAACTGCAAACATTTTAACAGCAAACAGAGCTGATATACAAATCTTAGACACTTAGAAACTTCTACTAAGTGCAGAGCTTTTACCACACTAATTCTGTTTTATTTAATTTGTAACATTAAATGGGGTTAAATGGTGCCTTTGTCTGATTATACCTTAATTCTCACTTTATAGACAGGTCACTTAACAGTACAGTAGAATAAGATGAAGAATTCTCCTCTTCTTTGTTCCAGGAGATGGGACCAGGTCTCAGAGATCCCGTCCCTTGCCAAAGAGCAGCCTATCAACTGACACTAGAAGACCCCATTGCTGGAGGAACAGTGGGGAGAGCTGGAAGTCGTCACATCCTGGCTACATACATCCTTTGCTTCTTGGGAGGTTTACTTTTCGGTGTATTTCTCCTATACTTTACAACCCGGCAATGCAGCACAGGCCGCAAGGGCCACCGCCTTCCAGATAATTCACTGTCGTCAGAGAAGGGGCGAGACTTGCTGGGCTCCTCAGCTACTCCGCAGTCCCCTAGCAGTGCCAGCTTGCTGTCTGAGGCATTCCGGCTGACAGACAAACGAAATGGGACGGCAACCACAACGACAATGACCCTCCTCAGCAACCAGGGTAATGGTAGCCACCATGGTAACAGCTACAGCGGCTCCCTGATCCGCAGCGACCCAAGCAATGGCAATGGGAATGCCTTGTACGCCAACTGCACCACAGGTAGCAGTGCAAAGTTTGCCTCTGAAATTTTAGCCACAGACAAGCTGGATGGAAGGACGGGGGAGAGGGAAAGGCCTGTGGCAGCAGGGAGAGAGTCAGAGCAGGAGGACAAGGTGGATGAGGGGCTGCGGGATGGGTTCGGGGAAGGGATGAAAGGACTAGAGGAGGACCTCGCCAGCTTTCCCATGTTCAAATCACCAGCACCACTTGCTCAGTGTGAAGAAAGCTCAATATGAAAAGGTGGTATAAATAACCTACTGATTGCACCATTTGGCGTTATTCAAATAAACTGAAGACTCCTGGGAGAAATGCAAAATGGCTACTGTCAAATGCCTTTGAATGGGAGCTGTGGCATGATGAGAGACTACAGAAATAAAAGGGAAATGAACGATAAATTTATGTCTAAGCATGTGAGACATATGGAGAGAAGTGCAAGTAAAAAAAAAATATTACAGTGTTGGGATAGACTATTTATTGTGAGTCAGTCAGGATGAGAGCCACAGCTAAATGAATGTGTCCATTGTAAATAAAACATGTAAATATAAGAAGCGTGAGGTTTACTGTGGACATGAACGTGATTGTGCAAATCAAACATTACAGAGAATCAAAGATGAAATGTCTATATGTGTGGACATGGAAAAGCCATATTGTCTTTTTCCTTAACTTCTGTTTTTATTTGTGATTTTGTTATATTCTCCTAATGACACTGCAAAAAAAGTGCAGTGTGAATCTTTCAGGATCACTGTACTGTATCTCTCTCTCTCTGACACACGACTTAAATCCCAGAACTTTATGGATCCAAAGGCACCAAAGGACAGCTGAGCCATAGCTTGCCCAGTGAGTCTGGGCTTCTAAATAGAGACATCCGTATCAGAGATGAAGAATCATAAATCACAAAGCCTTTAGATGGCACTGACTGGGCTGTTCCTGCCTGCGCTGCCACAGAGGTCAGAAGGATGATAGGTTAAAGGTCACTTACCAGATTAATATCAGTGTGGAAAACAGAAGATGCACAACAGATCCAAGAAACTGTGACAGGACACATTCACCATTACTGGTAAGGTAAAAAAAAAAGTTTTATGTTAAAGAATGTGAAATTCATTTTAACCCCACAGAATGGATCAGACATCAACTTGTTTTGTGAGTGTGGATTTTAACATCAAATGTATTGTTTTTGAATGTTTTGTAATAAAGCCTAAAACGTTGCTCTTACCCTGGTATGACTGTTCCCATAGTGTGAAAATCTGGATGTGAAAAAGCTTTGAAACAGCAGGTGGTGTGTGTGCTTCTTTGGTGTGGATCATACCTGTAAGCGAATTCTGCATCTTTGCGACTGAGTGAGTGTAAGCGAATTCTGCATCTTTGCGACTGTCCACACATAAGTGTGCGAGATGGTGTCTGTATAGATGAGTGAGTGTGTGCATCTTTTAAAACATTATATACATGGATTTGTTTAAAAAAGAAAAAATCTAAAACACTTCTGGAAAAACAGTAAAAAGCCTTTATTCCAATGACTCGATCACGATGGGGATTAAAAACTATACATATTCAAAATATGGGTTACAGCCTGCACATGGTGGCAAAAAACTGCCAGTGTGTTCAGGGTGTAACCTGCAACTCAGTTTTCCCTTAAGTAGATGTGCGACAATTGTAAACACCTAGTCTTAATGGGGAACCAACCATCCAATTCAGGGCTAAACACCAGCAGGTGGACACTTAGGGAGTCAAAGAACATGCACATATAAAACAGGAATTCCTTCCACCACTTAAATCTTCATCCCTTTCTTTCATGTCTTTATTTTTCCATGACTGTGTAGAAAAACTAAAATAAATGCATGAACAGCTATTACATAACCACCGTGCTTATAATTCCTGTATAACAGAAAACCATTTACTCAAATATTCAGAGGTACATACTATGGTTTTTATGACCACTGGCTGCTGTTAAAGAAATATTAAAGTAATCATGTCAAGAACAAAAGATGTGTCTTTTATGCTGTTTATTTATATACCAAAAGCAAAAAGTCCCTGCAGACAAAGAACTAAGTAAAAGGAGAGCATTTCCTACTTATAGTCTTCTTAGCAAAGTATGTAGACCTAACATCCCTGTGTACAGAACGCTAAGCTCTGTATCCCCTCTGTCATAAAGAAGGCGCCAGCCAGACGGCAACGGTGAGCACACAGGTCAACCCCATAGACTCACTTCTTTCTACTGTATAAATTTTGTTGCTGAAAGGTCTTCAGCGTCCTCCTGAAGAGTTTCTAGGTGACCAACAAAGTCACACTTGAGGAGAAAAGCCAACCATCACGCCAATGATGAAAAAAGCACAGTTATGTATTAACATTTATTTTTGGATGTTAATGGGGCACGCCAACCATTGCTCATCAAAATCAGTTTACTCATCAAGACTATTCAGCCAGTGAAAACATTTTTACAGTCAATGTCTTTCAGGGTGTCTGAAGTCTGCTAAAATAAGTGTGATGATGTTATAATAACCCCAACTCTGACAAACAGGGTTGTAGCAAGAAAATGCAGGATCATAGTTTAAAAAAAAAAAGTTTTTTAATTTTTAAAAGTCTCTTTTCACATTTTTTTCTCTGCAGTTATATTTTATGTAAATGTTGCTTTCCACAGTGTTTCCACACAGAGGACACAACCTTTGTTTCATCAGTCATCAGTTTTTGGTTGTGATGTAGAAAATGGTCTTCTTCCTCTTCA